GAGAGCTTTGTTCCTCTTCTCGTCTGAGCAACGTTTAAACAATGGATTCACCGAACGAAGGTATTTAATCATCGAGGACAGCGGGGAAATGAATTAATTTGTTAAATAAAATGTTTCAGCGCTTGCGGATGGAAATACCGGCTGAATCGATATTCTTTGTCGTCGTGGAGGGTGTTACCGGTGTTTTTTCATCGCGGGGGAAGAATAATCGGAAGCCAGATAAATGACCAGGGTGGACACGTTAAAAGCCCAATCGGAATATGGGGGCGCGTACGCTCGCAAACGATGAGACGCTTCTATTTCCCAGTGATGGTTAAACCCGTTCGCCGGCAGGTAATAAGCACTAATATCGAAAAATATTTCACGTCAATCCATGGACACAGAATATTGATTCCCCTTCATGAAAGCGAAAGACCCCCTCCTGCACTGTTTGCAGCTTCCAATATGCATTCAAACTGAAATTCCATGCACGGCGCGGCGCCGGTTTCAGCGGTCTCGTTTCTATGCCGCGGGATGGATTAATTAATCAAATCCCCGCGGATTCAGAAAAACTATCCGCGCCGAACGATTGGCCGACGCGGACAAGTGCGATTTGAAATCCACGGAAAATCACCAATCTCTATTTTTGGATATTTTCCCAACGGTAATGCGATACATTAATAAAGGACGATATTTGTCGCAGGTGTCGGTTTAATCGACTGGACGAATCACTCGTATTATTTTATATTTAATTCCATCCGGTTCAATCGATCCCATAAATTGATACGCGATGCGGTTCGAACGCGGCCAAAAACAAACGATTGTTCGCCGACTTAAACGTTCCCATTGTGCGGCTGGAAATGACGTATGTCGGTCTTCTAACCGGCTTCCATTAGGATCGACATCTTCGGACAATAATTTATTTATCTCCGCGTATGACAATCGAGAGACTGATCGAGCAGCGTTTCTCTCGGCGTAGGCCGTCAGGCCAATCAGCTACCAACGAACTTCTGACTCTCTTACGGCGGGCGTTCATAAGCATTTGAATGGGCCAATCAATCACGCGGCTCCTCTCTTTCTCGCCCTCGCGACCCCTCCTTCAGTCTCCTCTAACCCGGTGACGTCACGCTACAGTCATCCCCTATTAGTGGGGTGTTGTACCAACCAGCCCGAGCTGCGGGTCGCGGCCGAAAGAACATGGAAAGAGGAGGCTTTGACGGTTCCAGCCGAGGGGGTTGGTAATTATATATTCTAAGGGTGTCTCGCCGATCAGTCAATGTTTCCGCTGCAGCTCTCCGACAATGGAGCAAAGATAGAAAAAGCTTATCTGTCACTGCGCGCGATACTTCCTTAGGGGAGTGGAGCGAAGACTTTTAATTCTCGCTACGATTACCGGTTCTGCCGATGAAAAATTAAAAGAAGAGATCGCCCGGTCAGGGGGATGCATTCGTTAAGCATTTCCTTGCCAATCGGAAACGGTTCTATGTGCCCACAGTTACGAGATAAAAGGATGAAGACGTTAGGTGATAGCATTGAGATAATTCTACAAGCAGCAAAATGCAATAAAATATACGAATAGATACAACTTTTTGCTTTACATCGTTAAACCCAAATGTAGAATCTCATGTGAGTATAACAGAATTTATTAATTTATTATTACTCTAAGGTAGTTAAATAAGAAAATTAGAAATATAGAAGGACGCGATTCAAGTGACTATTAGATGCCAGCAGTAACGAGAATTATCTTCAATGAGGTATCGATTTGACGAAAACAGTATACCGTGAATCTGTATTGTACGACTTCCTGCCACGTAACAGCTTAAGCAGTGATCTATGACGAGTAGTGCCATAATGGTATTTGATGTTAATCGGGCTTTGAGTACGAGTTAACGCGACGAACGCGTCTCGGACGCATGAGCGGGTTGATTAAATTCAAACACCTCGTAGGCGGAATGCCAGAGCTCGTCGCGTCGTTCGGCTATCCGCCCTATGCGTGAGTTCAAATATGCTCATATCAGGTCGGCTCAAAGGACCGAGGTAACTCTCTGTCCAACAATAGTCACGCATGATAATAGCATGCCATCCGGACCCCTCGGTCAGTCCTGCAACGGCCGGTCGTCTGGAAGGAGTAAATACCAAATAGCTGAATTGATTCGGCCATCGGGGCTTAACGGCGATCCAATCCTCATATTTAGTCGAAACTTACGCACGGATAGCATTTATCGCGATTTCTGAAATGCGATGATCACGGATTCCACTCGCCTTAACATTCTAATTTGATTTTTCGAATTTCGCGACGACGTAAATCTTGCTAACTAATCTAATCCGCCACATTACAATATTGAATCAGACTTGAAACGAAGATCTTTATGTGAATTCAATATACAACGTGTCCAAAAACGTGGAATACCTATCTATATAAGAATATCTACATCTTCTCATAAAACATTGTCAGACATAAGCGTATACGAACTTTTTTCGTCTGTTTCACCTCAGTTATATATAGTACAGTTTAGTCCACGCTTTCTGGACACCCTGCATATTTTTTAACTTATCGAAACTTCGTTGGTTACAAAACAATTTAACCACGAAACCTAACATTCGAATACAATCTTTTCGGAATCAAGTAACAAGAATCTACTAATTTAATACTCAGCACGAACTACAAGCAAACTAGGATACAT